CCTTATCTAGCCCTCGCCTATCCTAGGCCTGGTGTGTTACCTATAGCTTTACTGGGAGAGTAGACTTAGGAGTTTAAATCATCAGAAGGTTGCCTTCTAGACATTGAAGATATTCAATGATAAAACATCTTTTTCATACTATGGTATATTGGTGATAATGGTGACATGATTATCCTTCCATGATGACCTGCTCTCCTCTTTCTGTTTGTGTATGTCTCCTGTTTCTCCTGCTCCCTATACTGTTAGTCTTAGGTGTTTCCCTGCTGTGCTTTGAACACTGGAGGAGGGTTGTAGCTCTTCTGTCTAGAACCAGAACCATAAGCAGTGACTCTCACCCTTGCTAATGCTGCGACCTTTAATACAGTTCCTTATGCTGTGATCTCCAACCTTAAAGTTATCTTTGATGGTACTTCATAACTGTAATTTTGATCCTGTTGATGGATCATAATGTAAATATCTGTTTTCTGATGGTCTTAGGCCATCCCTGTGAAAGGGTTTTTTGGATCCCCAAAAGGGTTATGAGCCATATAATAATGCTGCTACTTTCTCATCTTGCTCAAGGGTCTCCTTGGTAAGGCTTATCTGAACACCATGGCCCTTCCAGCTTCCCAACCTTCATCTATTTTTTTCCTCACCAAGTCTTTTCTTTTTTTTCCCTTAGTTTTTTAGACAGAATTTCTCTGTGTAGCCCTGGCTGTTCTAGAACTCTTTGTAGACCAGGCTGAGCTTGAATTTAGAGACACTCCTGCCTCTGCTTCCTGAGTGCTGGGACTAAAGGTACATGTGCCACCAATGCCTGGCCAAATCTTTACTTTCTTTTTCTTTTGGTTTTTCGAGACAGGGTTTCTCTGTATTGTTTTGGAGGCTGTCCTGGAACTTGCTCTGTAGACCAGGCTGGCCTCGAACTCACAGAGATCCGCCTGTCTCTGCCTCCTCAGTGCTGGGATTAAAGGCATTACCACCACCGCCCGGCCAAATCTTTACTTTCTAACATACTATATAATTTACATAATCCCTCCCTTGGTTTTCCAAGGCAGGGTTTCTCTGTATAGCCCTGGCTATCCTGGAACTTGCCATGTAGACCAGGCTGGCCTCAAACTCATAGAGATTTGCCTGCCTCTTCCTCTTGAATGCTGGGATTAAAGGCGTGCAGTAAGCAAGTATTTGTTGAATTACTGACATATAATGAGATGAATAAATTGGGTAAGCAAGACACAATAAATACATAAAAATTAATCATCATTGATAGTTTATTTAAAGCTCACCAAACCTCTGTCCCTATACCATCTGAAATTTACTCCAGTGAGATTACCTTCTTTTTCCTTTCTTCAAACCTCACAGTACTTTTTGTGTGTGTTGCTGGTAATTAACCTCCTGGCCTAGATGTGGTAGGCATGTATTCTACTGAGCCAGACCCCCACATTCCCTTCAGAATGATTTTTCTTTTCTGGTTCGGTTTTTTTTTTTTTTTTTGAGACAGGGTTTTACTGTGTGGCCCTGGCTGTCCTGGAACTCACTTCATAGACTAGGCTGGCTTTAAACTAACAGAGAGCCACCTGCCTTTGCTTCTTAAACACTGGGATCAAAGACACATGCCATTATGCCAGTGCAGACTGATTTCTTGTTTGGTTTGGAGGTTTTTGTGGTCGTTTGTTTGAGAGAGTTTCTTTGTGTATCCCTGGCCCAAGCTGGCATCAAACTCAAGAGATTTGCCTGTCTCTGCCTCCTGAGTGTTGTGATTAGAGGTGTGTGTCACCACTGTCTGGCTACGCTGATTTCTTTTTAAATTTTATTTAGTGAGCATTGGTGTTTTGCTGTGGGTGTCAGGTCCCATTAAACTGGATTACAGATGGTTGTGAGCTGCCATGTGGGTGCTGAGAGTTGAACCCTGGTCCTTTGGAGAGCAGTCGGTGCTGTTAACCACTCAGCCATCTCTCCAGCCCCAGACTGATTTCCTTTTTTGTTTTTTCAAGACAGGATTTCTCTGTGTAACCTTGGCTGTTCTGGAGCTCACTCTGTATACCAGGCTGGCCTCCAACTCACAGAGATCTGCCTGCCTCTGCCTCCCCAGTGCTGGGATTAAAGGCATGATACTGAGCAACTTTAATTCCAGCACTTGGGAGCCAGAGGCAGGGGGATCTCTGTGAGTTTGAAGCCAGCCTGGTCTACAGAGTGAGTTCCAAGACAGCCACTGTTTATACTGAGAAACCCTGTCTCAAAAAACAAGCAAACAAACAAACAAAAAAAAAAAAAAAAGGAAAGAAAAAGAGCGTTGTTTTTTGTTGTTGGTGTGTGAGGAATTGAAGAGGCTGTATTAGAAGAGGGTTGAGATACACCATGTTACCAAAGATGGGTGCAGTGATGGGGGAAATGGAGAAGTGGAGAGATTGAAGAGGAAGCCTGGGTTGACTTGAAAGTGGGAGGAAACTGAGAGGAAGGAACTGTGTGTGACTGTCAGTTTCTCTGAACAAGATAGAGACAATGACTGGCTTATAATGGAAAACAGTAGAATCAGGGTTTAGGGAACATGAACGAGTTTCATTTCCCTACAATAGATCACGTAAATCTTAGAATGATTGATATATTGAGGTAGTTTTGTTGTTGTCCAAGTGAATACTTGTGGGCTTTTGTTTGTTTAGCTCGTTTTGGTTTTGGTTTTGACTCACTATGGAGCCCAGATTGGCCTCTTGTAGTCTTCCCTCTTGTCTCTCCAGTGCTAGGATTACAGACATGTGCTACCATAGCAAGCTTTGGACTGCAGTTCTTTGCTCCATTTCAATCTTTTTGGGGGGGGCGGCTTCGAGACAGGGTTTCTCTGTATTGTTTTGGAGCCTGTCCTGGAACTCTATCTGTAGACCAGGCTGGGATCCTCCTGCCTCCGCCTCCTGAGTGCTGGGATTAAAGGCATACGCCACCACCGCCCGGCTCATTTCAACCCTTTTTATTACACTTATTTACTTCTTGGGTAACTTGGTGCATATTCTGTGGTGTACACGGGGAGGTCAGAGGATAACCTGCTAAAGTTCCTTTCTCCTTCCACCATGCGAGTCCTGGGGATCCAGCTCAGGCTTGTCATGGATGGCAGCGAACAAACACCTTTACTGGCTGAGCCATCCAGCCCAGTCCTGTGTGTTATAGATGTTTATAGTGTCACTGACCTCTACCAGCATGGCATTAGTAGCACACCCTCAATTGTAACCTCTAAAAATATCTCCACTATTGCCAAATGTCCCCAGTGGAAGTAAAATCCCCTTCTCCCTAGTTGAATTCTAGTGCCTTTCTGGGTCCCTTTATTGAAAGTTATTTGCCTAAAAGGCTTATGCAAATTTAGTTTAATTTAAATATAACTGACTTGCCAAGAATTACTAAGTTTGTAATAATTGGTCTTGAATAGAACTTTAAAAATCTTTTCAAGATTTATGCTGTCTAGTTGCTTTTTATTCATTCCGTCATTTTTTGAGGCAGGGTCTTACTATGTAGCTCTGGAACTTACTGTGTAGACCAGCTTGGCCTTTGATTCATAGAAATCTGCTTGTCTTTGCTTCAAGTGCTGAGATTAAAGGCTTTCATCACCATGGCCACCTATGTCTGGTTGATTTTCCAAAGGAGAAATGGTAATGGTTTTGGAAGGGTTTTAGTTTTATTTATTTTATGTGCTTGAGGGTTTTGCCTGCTTGTGTGTTTGTGCACCATGTGTGTGACTGGTGTCTGGAGGCCAGAAGAAGGCCTCAGACCCTTCTGAAACTAGAATTAGGGAGTTTTGAACCAATGTGTGAGTGCCAAGAATCAACCCTGAATCCCCTGCAAGAGCGACAAGTGCTGAAGCCCTGCTCCACTTCTCCAGCTCAGGCATAGCTCTGTTTTGTTTGTTGTTTCTCCCTGTAACAGCTATGACTGGCCTGGAACTCACAGAGATCTGCCTGCCTCTGCCTCCTGAATGCTGGCATTATAGGTGTGCACCACCACCTGGCCAGGCATATAGCTCTTTTAAGTAAAGAACAAAATCAAAATAAAACAAAAAACTTTAAAATGAAACATGCATAAAAAGAGAAAAGTTGATTGAATGTAACAAGAAATAGTAATGCACATTCTCTTTGGATTTCTCACTAACTAGCTGTTTGCTCAATGTCATCAGTGTGTGATGACATTTAACATTCTGCTCCTTCACAGGCTGTGGTGAGGGTTAGACATACAGATACAGTTGCTAAGAGTTAAGTTCTATTTTATGTGATAGTCACCTTCTTAAAATACAAATGCATATCAGCTGACAGTGGGTTACAATTGTAGTAAACATTACTGCAAATGCCTTTCTAATTATTACTTACCAAACTTTATAACTTAGGCTAGTTGCACCTTAAGGTGCTAAGAATACTTTTTTTTTTTTTTTTTTTTTGAGGAGGTTTCAAGACAGGGTTTCTTTGTGACTTTGGAGGCTGTCCTGGAACTTGCTCTTGTAGACCAGGCTGGCCTCGAACTCACAGAGATCCACCTGCCTCTGCCTCCCGAGTGCTGGGATAAGAGTCATGTGCCACCACCGCCCAGCTTAGAAACCTATTTTATAAGAAAGTGTTGTATATCTTGGATAATTTAATTAAGTAAATACCTAGATCCAAAAAGAGCTGGCTGAATTATGTGCTGTATAGTTTTGGTCATTACTTCTCCATCATGGCCTATTGGTGCTTTTAAATTGTCACTCTGTATATTAGTGGTTCAGGAAACAGTTGCAATGCAAAATTTCAAGTATGGTTTCTACTGTACTCTGTGGTAAGTTTGAAAAATCATAAGTTGGAATTGACTCAGCTCTCTGAGAACCTAAGTGAGTTATAACACTTGATCTGTTTTTGTAAGTTTGTTTTCCTCATTAATTTATATCATGTGGTTCAAACCTTTAAGATTTAAGCGAAAGCCTTAATGTTTTGTTTCTTCTACTAGATGCTACTAAAACTTGGCAGTACTGCATGTCCTCTGACTTCCTTGTCTTTGTGTACATTACGTTTCAGCACACTTCACATGGAGACGGGAGGCAAGAAGTCACCTCCCGCACCGGGCGCTCTGGAGCTCGGTGTAGAAACTCAATAGCTTCCTGTGCAGATGAACAGCCTCACATCGGAAACTACAGACTGTTGAAAACAATCGGCAAGGGGAACTTTGCAAAAGTCAAATTGGCGAGACACATCCTCACAGGCAGAGAGGTAAAGCTTGTGTTTGCTTCTACTGTGGTATTCTGCTAAATTTTTAAGGGCCGGGACACATATTAACAACTGGGAAGTTCTGCTTTTCTGTTGCTGTAAATGAATTGAGTGGATGCTCTAACTTAAATGAATAATGTTCTGTTCCTTTTCAGTGGAGAAATCAGTAAAATTGTCGTGAACATCATGCACAGAACTCATGCTCTTCTGTTCATAGGCCCATAAGCGCACCATACCTGCAGATCAGTAGTTATCTGTGTTTACAGGTTTATCCCATGGGTTTCCTTCCTTTTCTGAGGATTTCTAGTAGTCCTTGTTTACCAGGTTGTGCCGGAAGGCACATGCTTTCCCAGCTTTTGTGATCTTGGCTCTCTTGCATTACTTATCAAAGTACACGTATTGAAACCACAGAATTAATTTCCTCTTTGCATCTTCTTATGTGATGCAGAGCCTTTTTTCTGCTTTGACAGAGTTCTTGTATTTAGGTCTTGGCACCTGTTGTCTGACTAAAGTACTCTTTGCCCTTCTGTGTAGGGATTACTTCTGGGAAGTGTTTGTTGACACACCCCTGACACCTCTCTTACACAGCAGGGTTTATCTTACATCCATTGACTTGTTTTTCCTCCTCCACTCTGTAATGGTGACTGCTGTATGTAGGGAAGAGGTTGGTACTTGTTATACATGTAACAAATACTGGTCAGATGACTATAATTGTATGATTGAAAGATGCTTTTAATCCCAGCACTCGGGAGGCAGAGGCAGGCGGATCTCTGTGAGTTCGAGGCCAGCCTGGTCTACAGAGCAAGTTCCAGGATAGCCTTCAAACCACAGAGAAACCCTGTCTTGAAACCCCCCCCCCCAAAAAAAAAAAAGAAGATGCTTTTAAACGAGATGCTCTGGCTGGGAGAGGTAGTATGTGCCTTTAGTCCTAGCACTTGAGAGGCAGGCAGCCTGGTTACAGGGTGAATTCCAGGACAGCTAGGACAATAGGTTACACAGAAAAACCCTGCCTTAAAATAAAGAAACAAACAGCCTGGCAGTGGTTTGGCACACCTTTAGGCAGAGGCAGGCAGATCTCTGTGAGTTTGAAGCCAGCCTGGTCTACAGAGAGAGTTCCAGGACAACCTCCAGGTTGCTACAGAGCAACCCTGTCTCAAAACTAAGAAAAAAGAAACAGAGCAGTAAGTCCTTTATTTTATTTTATTTTATTTTATTTTTTGGTTTTTCAAGACAGGGTTTCTCTGTATTGTCTTGGAAGCTGTCCTGGAACTTGCTTTGTAGACCAGGCTGGCCTCGAACTCACAGAGATCAACCTGCCTCTGCCTCCCGAGTGCTGGGATTAAAGGCGTGCACCACCAACGCCCGGCCTGCAGTAAGCCCTTTAAATACAGCCAGTTAAGAATATAGTGACTGTTGATACTTCTCTTACAAACAGTTATTCATTTGACCCATAACATTAAAATACAGCCAAATAGAAACAAAACTCAGCAGTGTCTGCATTCACATAGAAAGTGACTGTGTTCATTAGGCCACACAGCAGACTTATAGCACCCCACTGGCTTTGAGAATATAGCTATGGAAAAGCAGTTAACAGACATTTCCTTTTTCTTTTTCTTTGACTCTGGCTGCTATGTAGACTGTGCTGTCTTCAGTTTGCAGAAATCTACATCTCTGTCTCCAGAGTGCTGAGATTAATGTTGTGCACTACCACACATGACATGAGCCCTATTTGACAGGGCAGGTGTTATGTGATTGAATTTCTAGGGCAGGATTCTTTGAGATGGGGAATCTCTGTATTTGAGGCCAACCTGGTCTACAGAGTGAGTTCCAAGACAACCAGGCCTACACAAAGAAATTGTCTCGGGAAAAAACAAAACTCAAACAGAAAAAGAGATGTGTTGTATGCCTCGCTCTCTTATGATGGATATGTCAGCACTGCATGACAGGCATGCCATGGCATTGATGCCCATAGCTCACTAGGGCAGGGACTAAGAGCGAGCCCTGTGCCAGTCACCCTGTCAGCAGATTTAGCTCTTTTGGTGTTGTTAATACTGGACCTTAAAGAAGTCTGGGAAGCCATGTTCTACCCTAACTAGAGTATTTGCCCTTTACAGTCTCAGTTTTAGCGACTATATTTTTGTGGATATGTGGAGACTGAAAACAAGGATCCCAAAACAAGTTGACTAGATGGAGCTGTCCCTGAGTGGGCCTTTCTTTTTTTCTTTTGGTTTTTTTTTTTTTTTTTTTTTTTTTTTTTTGGTTTTTACGAGACAGGGTTTCTCTGTATTGTTTTGGAGGCTGTCGGTCCAGCCTGGCCTCAAACTCACAGAGAGCCGCCTGCCTCTGCCTCCTGAGTGCTGGGATTAAAGGCGTGCGCCACCACCGCCCAGCTGAGTGGGCCTTTCTTAGGATAACACATTAGCTTTCACCAGTCCTAGATGTTTGCCCTGGTTTCCTGAGGTGGCAGAGGTAAAGGAACAGACACTGTTTTCTGGAGTCTGGTCTACTGTGTTTATTTGTAGTGTAGTCTTTCTCCAGAAGGCTTTAACAGTGGTGGTAACCAAAGTGGCTTAATTTAAGGTTCTCTTCAGTTTTCAAAAACTTTAGTCAAAATCATTTTCTTTTTTCTCCTTTTTATTATAAGTATGATCAGAATCATATTTGTAAACATAAAATTTATTATGTAGAAAGCAAAAGGTTTTTATATAGACATTAACTTTTGGTTTCACAAAAAAAGAGACTCATAGACATAATGATGTCCTCTATTATGACTATTTCCAGTAGTAATGCTATTGTTGCTATAATTAGAGTGTGTGTAGAGATTAGAGGACAGGTTTCTTAGACTCAGTTCTCTCCCATCACTGTTGGTGCACATTTCAAATTCAGTTGTGTGACAAGCACCGTTACATGCTGAGCCATCTTGCCAACCAAATAGTAGTGTTTTTGATTAGTAATGGGCCTTGACTACTGTCACTGGTGTTTGTCCTCGTGGGTTTCATACCATAGGAAAGGCAGCATAGTCTTTCAGGATACAGTGAGCCACAGTGTGACCCTTGGGGATCTCTAAATGTTCTGTTACAAATAGGTCCATAGGAAACATTATTTGCTACTATGTGTGATCTTATTAAGAATGTAGAATAGAGTCATAGGGAAAAAAAAAAGCCCTGGATCAAAGTGGCTAAATATTTCACATTGCAATGCACACTGCTGAGATAATTTTGAAAAAAATCAGAATTACCCTACCAAAAATGAATGTCTTATTTTTTTCACCCCCTTGCCTAAGCTGTATAAGAGACTTTTGTCTGGTTGTCTCAACCCATTTTTACTGATGTAACAGAATATCAGATAGTACCTTACTTTTTAGAAAAATACTTTCTGATAGTTTTGGAGACAGAAGTTCAAGATTGAAGGACTGAATTCCTTTTATAATGTCCCTCTACCCACCCATTTCTCAGTTATGGCCCGGTCATTCCCCTTCAATATTCTTCTGTTTAATGTAATGGCAGTTAAAACTCAACATGGGTTTTGGCCGGGTGGGGACGACACAAACCTTCAAGCCATAACCTTGATGGTTTAGACCATCAGGTTTATAATCAGATGTTACAAACCAAATCATACTTTTCCATTATAATTATGTAAATTTGTTATGTTACCTTATATTTTGTCATTCATTTTTGTAGGAGGAGGTTTGAGATATAGTCTGTGTATCCTTGGCTGTCCTGGAACTTGCTTTGTAGACCAGGCTGGGCTTGAACTCACAGAAATCTGCCTGCCTCTCTCTGCCTCCTGAGTGCTAGGATTAAAGGCATGTGCCACCACCGCCCAACTCTTTTTTGCTTCTTTTATGTGTATATTTTGCCTTCAGGAATGTAAGTGCACTGCCAGCAGAGGGCAAACAGGGCATATAGGAGTCCCTGGAAATGGAGTTACAGACAGTTGTGAGGGGCCATGCGAGTGTTAGGAAATATGCTTGGTTTTTTGTTTTGTTTTTTTGTTTTTTTGTTTTTTTTGAGGAGCAAGTGCTCTTAACTGTTAAGCTGTCTCCAAACCCATTATGCATATTTTAAGTGATTTCCTTTTTATACCCTTTATTCATTTTTAAAAGTTGCATTGTGTGTTTGTGTCTGTTGTACTCACGTGTGCATGTGTGCACATCACTGCTAACACGGGGAGGTTAGAGGATGACTTGTGAGAGTTGATTATTTTTTCTTCCACCATGTGAGTTTTGAGGATCAGAATTAGGAGGTGGCCAAAATGCTTTGTCGTCTAAGCCATCTCACCAGCTCTCATTTATTAGTTATCTGTTGGTGACTTAGAATCTTTATGTTTCGGTTGTCTATTATAGCAGTTGTTTATAGGGTATGTGGGGTGTGTTTGTGTGTGTGTGATAGGAGGAGGGGGCGGATTTACTTGGGCCTACAGACGTGGTTCAACAGTTAAGAGCATGGACTATTCCTCCAGAGGATCCAACTTTGATTCCCAACAACTATGTCTGGTGGCTCACAACTGCTTGTAACTTTAGCTCTAGGCTAGAGCCTCCACAGGCACCTACACTCCTGTGCACATACTTAGCATATGTAGATAAAAATAATTAAACATATTGTGCATGTGTGTCTGTCTGTGTGCATATGTGCTCACAAGGGAGCAACATTCCTTATCATTTGTATAGATTGTCTTTGTAATCTGGTCTTCTGGCTATCTGTGTTTAAAATGGAGTTCTAAGAAGTGAGTCTAAAGTTGTGCCCAACATGTACAGGACATACGTGGCCACCAAGCTTGCCTTTGACAGGTATATGGTACTTTCATGGAAACCCCTGACACTTGTCTTCTTCTCTGGGCATATTACATTCGTCTAGACAGGGATCTTTTCTTCTGCTTGTGGCAGAGTTGGGAGTTGTAGCAGGTTGTCCCAATTACTACTTATTTGTCATTTTTGTTCCCATGCCTTACTCCTACCCCCTGGTTTCCACCGAATGAGTTTCCAATCTTGGTGGCTACTTTTT